GGTCCGGGGCTTGGCACCGGGGGCTCCACACGGGCGCCCCCACAGCTTGGCGAGAGCAGCAACGCGCGATCGCCGTCCTCGCCGCTGCGGACCCGGTAGGACACGGGCGTGGACTTCTTGCTGCGCTTCACCAGGAAGCCGCGGGGCATGTTGGCGCGGTATGAGGGCAAGGCACTGGCTGGGTCCCACCTCTACGCTCGGCCCCAGCGGCCCTCAGTGTCCCCAGCCCATTGCCCAGGAGCGGTGGCTGCAGGACTTGCGTGGCGTCAGCGGCGGCTCAGCCCGGCTCTGCGCCTTGCACGCGCGTCCCTGTCCCCGGGTCCGGGAGCCGCTCCCTTTTAACGGGGGGAGGGGGCCATTGTTCTCGCCTCCCGCTTCTCCCAGAGCCAATCAGCGCGTTCGCAGCTCCTCCGCCTGCTAGGGTGGGAGGGCGACGGAGCGGCAAAAAGGGGGCCGGGACTCAGGGGTCGCCCGGTAGGTGCGGCAGATGTACCTGAGGGCGCGGGGCCCCAGTGCGCGCCCCTCTGCCGCCCCGCCCGGCGCCGCCGCCCCGCCTGGCCCAGGCACACGCCCGGCCCCGCCTCCCTTCACGGTCTGCTGCTCCTCTATGGGGAGGCGCACGTGCCTGGGCTTTGTGTCTCTCCTCCGGGGGGCGCGGAGCCGCCAAATGGGCCCGTCCATCAGCACGACAATGCATGCCCCCCTCCCGCGCGGGGATTACCCGCGGGTCGCGAGCAAAATAGCAACAAAGGAGAAGAATAGCCCCAAATATGTCAGGAGGGTTCAATCCGCGAGCCGGAGCCGAGGGGGAAGTTGTGCGCGCTGATTGGGTGGGGGCGGGGGGTGAGCAAAAGCTGGAGCAGGGAGATCTAAGTAAGGGCTGCGGGGGCGGGAGAGGGGCCAGGATCCCCGCGTGGTAGTTGGGTAGTTGGGAAATTATCGAGAAGGGAAGGTAGCTGTAAAGTCCCCCTGGCCCCAGCACCCGCCCTTGCCTTGGGATGGGCGCTGGACCGGGGTTCCGATTGTGGGTAGAAGATTTGACCTCCTGGCTGCAGCTGAGGGTGATATTTGTGCTTGCAGCTTCCACGCGGCTGCGGGCCTTGGAAAGATTTCTTTTTTGAGTTTGAGAAACAGTTGGCACAGTGCTTCTTCAATCGTCAGCATACCCGGGACTGGAGCGGAGGACGAGCTGGGTTGGGTTAAAAAAAAAAAAAAAAACACTTGAATTTCTTAACTTTTTTTTTGTAAGTTCTTGGAGGCTCTGGGATTTACAACCTTGCAGGTGCCGGGCTCGGGCTGCTCTCAGCCTCCGCGCCTTCCAGGGCTGGGTTAATCCATGTTGAGTTGGCCAAAGCCTGAAACGGGCGGTCCACGTCGTGTACCCCAGTGAAGTTGGTTTCTGCCCTCCCCGCGCGTTCTCATGCATTTTCATTCTGAGCGGGCATTTTGTCTGCCGGTTGACATCAGATGCTAAATCAAGGGCTCTAATCAAGGCGCTGCGGAATAAAGGGGCCGCCTGTCTGGGCGCGGGCCCCCCCGGAGCCGTGCCCCCTTCACCTTTGTGAAGGAAATTAACCTCCCGCTATTGAGCGCCGGTCGCGGCCAATCTGGACGCAAAAGAGACGCGTGCTGCCGGCCTGGGGGAGGGGGGCAATCTGTCCTCTGAGGCAGGCTGTGGCCTCAGAGAGGACAAGCCGCTTCTTCGGTGCCACCAGGAAAAGACAACAGCAAAGAACCCCCCCCCCCGCCTCACAGCGCCGCCCCGTTTGGACCCAGACCGAGCCGCCTGTCCCCCCTTCCTCTTCCCAGCCTGGCGCCGAGGAAACAAAAGATAAAATCTACGGGGGACTGGGGCAGAACCCCACGAGTGTGTAGTAGCCCCGATCGTCCATCGCGGGGGAACAAATAGCAAAGCCACATAAAATGTCTAGTTGTAAAGAAAATGTCACTTTATTAAAAGAAAAGGAAACAAAAATTTCAGCAAAGCTCTGTACACCCAGATTTTGCTGAGTTTTGCTTATGTTTCATTCCACTGAAGGTATTTAATTGCTTTGGGTTTTCCCTCTGAAAATACCCTGGCATGGAAATTAAACTTATTTTTTCAACGAAAGTCATGTGAGTAATAAGTTGTGATGGGGATAGATTCTTAGGGTCAGTTAATTAGGATCTTGCCAAGGGGAGAAAGATGCTTGATGATTTTATGTTTATGATTTCTTTTAACTTACACGCTGAAAACAGAAAACATAAAATGGATATGTTTTGAAAGGTCATACCCTCGTTTTAAAAAATGCTAACTGTGATGAGTCCTAGTCCTAAAAAAAAGTTAGAAATCATAAAATGAATTTAAAATTTATGAATGTTTCGGTCTAAAAGTAACTGATGTTATTTCCTTGCTCTTTTGAACGCTGATTAATACCGCTGATGAAATTAGAAGTGGGAAAGGGATTCCGAGACAGCTTTGGCCAATTTTATTTTCTAATCACGAATCCCATCTGGGTTGTGGAATAATAGGGCGGGGCGGTGGGGGCCATCTCCGCCGGCCATCTCCAACTTAACTGCGGGATATTTGGTTTTGCATATGTAACACTCCTTTCATTCAACAGATAACAGGGAGAGTTAGTCACCTAGTGAATCCTTAAAAAATAACAACACCCATAATTGTAAAGAGGGCGTAAGGAGGGGGGGCACTACCACCACAAAAGAAAATCAAAACAAAATCCCTGCCTGAGGGAATCCAAACTGGGCTCTGAATTTAGTCGAGAAAATCTATTGAATGCTATTGAGATACCGAGATTCAATGGATTCGTTTCTTTCTCTTTATTCGTGGCTTCTAGTCATGCCAGCGGAAATGAAATCTGCTTTCAGACGGTACAGCCAAAATAAATGGAAACCTGAAAGGTACAACCGTACAAAACTAATTTCATAAAGCAGGGCTGAGAAAGAATTAGGCTGTGCGCGCGCACGCACACACCAGCAACCTTCAAGCAGGTGCAGCAGTGCACCGAGTCGTGAATCTCCGCCGCCTTCTGCGTGATTTTCTTAGAATCCTCGTGCCCGCAGGGATGGGGACAACGGGTCAAGATATTTGTCTTCCTCTAGGAAGAGCAAAGCGCCATCACACTGAGCCCCTGCGGCCTGCCTTTGCGCACAGCGAATAGGGCCGCACCGAGTTCAGTTGGGGAAAACCCTGAGCGTTGATTTGCCCGCCTCGAGGGGGGATTCCTGGGAGTCGGTGAGTAGAAGGTTCCAATGCAGGGCACCTAAGTGTTCTTTCAAGGTGACTCCTCTTTCTTGTGGGGTTCTGATCAGGGCTTGGGAAGAATCCTGGGGCCTCTTGGCTTATTCCTAGCAGACCCCAATGTGGGTTCTTCCTCCGACCGCTGAGGAACTAGAGGCCGCTGGCCCTCCAAGTTCTCCTGTCCAGAGGTTCAGATTGCCGTCGGGGCGCACGCCAGGGTTCACTGTGATCCACAGCTCTGCTCCGAATCAAAGTTGAGGCTCCAGGGAGTTTTTAGAAAACGCTCATCTTGGAAATTTCGCCTGAGGAATTGTTTCCTTGGGATGTCGAGGAGTTTAGGCAGCCCTTGAACTCCTAGGAGAAGACCGCGAGACTGCAGTCACACCCCCACAGCAGGGAGCGCGTTTGAAGCCGCTGGGGCGCGGGGGAGTTGTTAGGTTGTCTCCCGCCATTCTCTGACGACCCCTCTCCTGGCTTCACAGAAACCCGGCCCCCGCCCCATGCACAGCCTTTCCTCTCCACGACCCACGACCCTGCTGGAACAGTGCGTTACCGCCCCCAGTGCCCGCCGCCCGGACCCAGAGGGTCTGGCGCCCCTGTGCTCTGGGGAGCGCCGGACCGGAGACCTGGAGAGGCTTTGTGTTTGCAGGAATGAGGAGTTGTTGTGTCAGTCCCGGGGGCACGCGAGAGACACGCGCAGCCCGCCCGCCGGCCGCCCCACCCGGCCGGGTCCGGCCTCCAGGCACCTTCCGGGGCCCCCGCCCGCAGGCCGTTGCCTTTGTTTGGTACATTAGCATAAAGCTGCCGTGGAACCTCCCGTTCAAATAATTCCACACAAAAGGAGAGTGCATGAAAGAGAGCGAACAAGGGAGAATCCGTGAGGCTGCGCCGTCGGCCTGGCGCGGGGAGGGACCGCGCTCAAGTATTTCCCTCCCCTCGAGTTTCAAGTGCCCCCTGGCAATCTGCTGCGCGCCCATTATTCCACCCGGGCCCGACGGGGTGGCTGGCCGCCTCTTTTATCCTCCTGAGTGTGCCGTCGGGGCCACTGCACGCTCCCTGAAGTGCCCTTAGGGCTGTTTGTTTTTGCCTCGGTTGGGACAGTCCGGGGCGCAGAGGGAGGAGGTCGGATAGTAGGGGCGCCGGCTTGGCGACCGGAAGGGTAGTGCAAAAGCAGGCCAAGGCAAAGTCAGGGAACGTAGGACAGTCACAGCCGAAGAGTCTTGTCAAGAGCAGCCCAAGACAGCACTGACCCCATCGGGATGACATTGAACGTGGGACTCAAAAGTGGTCTGAGTCCACCTGTAAGGTGACAGGCCACTAGCTTTGCGTGTCTCAGTCTCCGATTGTGAGCTAGAGGTGTGAAAGGCCGCGACGGGCCCAATCACAAGTCCACCTTCTGGAGGGTCAGTCAGGGGCAATTTTTGACTCAGTCTGGGGTCCTGTCCTTGAGTTTAGGGTATATTGCTTCCTCCTCCATCACCGTTTCATTTTTCCTCTCTTCTCGCCCCTCTTTCCTTTTCTCATTTCTGTCCTATCCCATCCTGTTTCTTTTTTCACCTCCTCTTGTCCGTCATCCCCCACTTCCCTTCTCTTCCCTTCTTTCTTTCCCCACTTTCTCCCCATCCTGTTCCACCCCTCCCATGTTCCTTCTCTTTCTTCCATCTTTTCCACTCTTGACTGTTTTCTCCCTCACTTCCAGTCTTTCCTACCCTGACTGTCCCTCTCCCCTTTTCTACCAAGTCTCTCCCTCTTTCCCAGTGTTTCTTCTCAGCCCCTCTATTTCTCCCCTCACCTCTCTGTTTCTGTCTTCTCTTTCTCTCCCCCTCCATCCTCCCTCTCTCCTCCCCAGTCTTCTTCCCCCCCTCCTTAACCCCTTCACTTTCTCCCTTTTACTCCCCCCACCTCTTCCCTCCTCCCCACAGGCCAATGTGTGTTATTTTATTTGTCTAGAGAGAGCCTATTTGTTCAGTGATGTGTGGCCTCCTGGTCGCCTGCTTTAATGGGGGACGCGGAGGCTTGGTTTCTGGAAGCATTAGCATACAGCTGCCGGGCTCCGTGCCCCATTCCAGGCTTGTACTTTATCCCAGCCTTATCATCACTTCTTCTCTCAACCAGAAAACAATCAACAGCTCCTCTCCCTGTTTCTTGGCTAAGACTCACTCACTCCAGTGCGTTCTAACACACACACACACACACACACACACACACACACACACACACACTCTTCTAAGGGTAAATATTGATTAGAGGGGTTTTTAATCCCCACGCAATGTTTCCTTTCCCCTCTCACTTCATCTTTTATTTTTCTTTGCCTCCTTGTGTTATTTTAATCCAGTAAAATCACAAGGACCCATTTTTGCAAAGGAGGTAGCTATACTATTAAAAACTGATAGGGCATCAGATAGGGTGTTATATGTGATGTGAGAGGATATCACTTTGGAAAATTAACTTTGGTATTTTCTTGCCAATATTATTTGCTTAAAATGCAAAATTCCAAGCTCAGGTGGAAAGCCCAAGATATTCCCAGCTCAACAGCACCGAAATACACAGGGACTTCAAGTGTTTACCCGCCTCTACAAAATTTATGTCCTATGCACACCCAGAGAAGTCCAAATATTGGTCTTTTGGAAGCCCTTTCTTTTGCCAGGCTTTATTCTGCCCTTAAAATAGCCAATTTCAAGCTATGGCCAATGGCTCTTGAATTCTTCTCTTAGGAAATTTTTCTTCAGTGGTAAAGTTCTTAGGTCTACACATCAGATTCGGGAAATTATTTCACAAATATGCTAAATTTCCTAGATTCAGGAAATTACTTTCTAAGAAAGGGGCAAGGATTCAAATAACGTCCTTTGGAATACTTAGTAAGCTAAAGTATGTTTTAGATATTTTCAAATGTGTCCTGATGCTTATGAAGATCCTTACCAAAAGGCGGCAGAGGAAAACTGTTATCAAATTTATGCATGATTTGGTACTAAGGTTGACATTGTCATTTGGGGTCATTTATATGCAACCAGAGGAGGCTTTATCATGGTAATAGTTGGTCACAGAAGTTATAACTGTTGATCCTCTAACTGAAGTTGTTCTGTTAATCTTCATTTCAGCATCCTAGGGCTTGTCGCAGAAACTTGCTCCATTTGCTGATGAGTTTGACCCAAGTCCTCTCAGGGGAAAGAAACTAGGGAGAGAGTTGCCTGAGCTGACTCATTCTCCAGTCCCTGAAATATGGTTCCACGTGTGTTGGTTCTCAATTCTGAAGAGTGAACCAGGAGCAATTGTTTCCCATTCAAGTTACACAGTTTGTACCATATGGCCAGTGCTGGGCCCTCCCCCAAAATGACCCAGGCGTTTGTGTAAAATTTACATGTGAAGGAATTAATGGTATTTATGGCTTGATTTTGCCTGCCTTGAAAAAATCAGAGTCCAGTGTTCAATTTTGAAGCAATTTTGTTTTTGAGAAGTATCAATTTGGTAGTTCAAAATAATTAAGTGGTTTTCAGTAGAGAGTTGCATAATGTGTGCATAATTCTGTAATGCCAATTCTAACTTTTCCTAATAAAAATGGATCATCATTGTAAATGTGCCAAATTTTGCTAAATGTTAACAGAAATACAAAAGATGAACAAAAACTGGAATTGTGTTCCTGGAAACCAATTTTAAACCCTGATGTTGGTCAAAAAATCATGTCACATTATACTAAAATAGTTTCAAATAAATGAAAACAATCATATGTGTTGCTTCCCAGTTCCAGAATCCATGTGTTTTCTAGTAGGCAATTCATTTGCTTTATTTGATAAGAGAGAGGTTTTCTGATCCACCTTCTAGGTGACAGGTAACAGGGGAGCCCCTGCCTATACTCCCAGCAAAGCAGCAGTGCTTAAGGTGAAAGAAAACACACTAGATTAATTTCCCACTTCCATTTTATAATCTAAAACCTGTGTGTGAATCCCTGGATCTTCCAATTTTCCTGTGTCTTTATGCTCATAATCTGCAATATGAATTTAAAAACATAGGGAATATGATAGTAACCTCCTTGTTTCAAAGGTCATGGAAGCTTTTCTAACCAATCAGTCTTTCTGATATTGGGCTATAGATTTAATTTCTCATCTGGTCACTAATTTTTCATTTGGGGCACATGCTTTTCTTTTGTAATCACCTATAAGTATTACTGGATAAATATAACTAAGAACTAAATTGACCCTAGAACATTATAGGAAATAAAACAGAATCACACCCAAGGTAAGAACCAGTTTTACACAGTATGATCTCATTTCATTGCTAAAATGGATTACTCTCACAGGAACATGTCTGGTATTTTTTGGTAAAGCGTCCCTGCCCCAGAATAGAGACGCACGGCCGTGCGCCACCTCCTGGAAGAAAATAAAACTACAGGCATAAGTGAGGCGGAAAACAATCCAGGACACCAGGATGGCGCTTTAGCTGTCAAGCCAAGCTTCTGGGAGCTTTTCTATTTCTACAGAGCACTTGCGATAACTAAATGAATGGATATAATACGATGGAGACCCTGGCCACAATTAAATGATGCCGGGCCACGCGTACATGGGCAGGTGGTAATGGTTATAGTGTAGATAGTCGAGGATGCTCCTTTCCACCAGGTTTTTGTAGATGGTTTCCTGGAAAACTCTCTTGAGGTATTTCCTGGGGCTCTCCTTCAGGTTTATTTCCTCGTCTTCTATCTGATGGGCTAACTGTTCTATGGAAGGAAGGTTTTCCTCCTGTGAAATGCAGTACAAGGTTAGATAAAGAAGTTCGACTCTGCACCTCAATAATCAGGCAATTTTATAAAAGCAAAACAAGATATAGTCAATTCCTAATAACTTTTTCTTGCTTTTCAGGAATTGTTTTTAATCATGGCAAATATACATAACATGAACTTTATTATTTTAATCATTTTTTTAAGTGTACAGTTAAGTGGTATTCGGATCATTCACATTGTTGTACAACTATTGCTACCAGAACTTGTTCATCATCCCAAACTGAAACTCTCTGTCCATTAAATAATAACTCTGTTCTACTCTCCTCTCAGCCTCTGGCAACCATAGTTGTACTTTCTTTCTCTATGACTACTCTAGGAACTTCAGGCGAGTGGAGACATACAGTGTCTTTTTGTGACTATTTTCTATCATTTAGCATAATGTCTTCAGGGCTCACCAAGGATGGTCATTTTATCCTCTTAGTTTTCAGATAAGAATTATCTGTAGGTCATACATGCTTTAAGGTTAAGAAAGGGGCAACTAAACATTTGTGCTTGAAAACTCCTAGATGATTTTGTTGTTTGCAGTCCTTAAGAGATAGAATCTAATAACCTTAGAATAAAGTAAAGTCAACTTTCATTGATATTTCTAAATATAGGGTTCAAAAGGAATACATTTATTTGAAGTTGAGGATCAGATGCTATGTAATCTACAAATTTTCCAGCATTTCAATATAAAAAGGATACACATAAAGAAAATTGATAGAATTGTACAGTGAACATCTGCACACATTTACACTACCTGAATTCTACAGGTAACATTTTACTGTGTTTGCTTCATTTCCATTATCTGCCTTTCTATAGAAGGATTTTTATAAAAATCATTTCATTCAGGTTTGAGGTATGTGTGTCTTTTTTTACACTGTGATTTTAAACATTACCCTAAATATAAAGTCATATGGACTTTGATGATATATTTATTCCCACTTCCAAGAATTTTTTTTTCCCTAACAAAAATGGATTACTTGCAGGTTTCTACTGGATCACTAATTGATCTTATTTATTTATTTATTTTTAGTTGTATATGGGATCAATGTCTTTATTTGTTTTTATGTGGTACTAGGATCAAACCCAGTGCCCTCACACTGGTGAAGCAACTGCTCTACCACTGAGCTACAACTCTAGTCCATGGACCACTAATTTATTAATGGTAAAGAATGAATAGAAAAGAAGGTTCATGCTTTATGGAAGCATGTCATCACTGGGTTATTTAAGCAGATGTAGAAAATTATACACAACATCTGGAAGAACGGTCTGGGAAGATCACAGGAATTCAGGTTTAAACCAGCTCCACAAGGCAGGGAGAGGGGAAGAAGAAAACTGATACCATTATCTTAATATTGGAGGTGCTTGAAACACTGAGCGCCACCAATACATATCCCTGGAAAATATTCCACAGATACATATGGGGTTGATTCTTCCTTAAATTCACTAAAGAGTTGTATCAAATCAACACAAAACAATGAGCTTATTTACAGTTCCATGTTCAATTTGTGGCTTTTTGTGTGTGTGTCTGTCTTATTTCACTTAGCATAGTATTATCTTCTTAAAAATCTTCTGAAAGTGTCTTTTCAAATTGTATTTTAAATCAACAAGTAATCATATGTTTATGTGGTACAATGTGCTGTTATGACACCTGTCTACATCTTGGAATAAGTAAATCAGTCTAATTAGCATATGCATCACCTCATATGCTTATTATTTCTTCATGGTGAGAATACTTATTCGCTTGTTTTTGTGTTTCTGGGGATAGAACCCAGTATGAGAACATTTAAAATCTACTCTCAGCAACTTCAAGATATACTATGTATTATTTTAATTATTATATTATTATTAACTATGGTCAATACATTGTACAATAAATTGCTAAAACATTTTCTTCTGTCTGAAACTTTGCACCCTGTACTTTGAAACCAGGTAATATAATGCCTCTAACTTTGTTCTTCTTTCTCAAGATTGCGTTGACTATTCCATGTCTTTTGTGGTTCCATATACATTTTAGGATTTTTTAAAATTTCTATGAAAAATTCCAATGGGATTTTGATAGATTTACATTCATTTGTGGATTGCTTTGGATAATATGGACATTTTAACAATATTCATTCTTCAATCCATGAACATAGGATGTCTTTCTGTTTACTTGTGTTATCTTCAATTTCTTTCATCAACTTTTTGTATGTTTTGTTTTTTCTGCAAAACTGAATTTTCACTGGGTTCAAGTATTGGAGAGGGCTACAGAGTAGTTTAAAAAGCCAGAGGGAGAGGCTTAGGTGGAAGCCCTGATACTAGAAGATGCAGAAGGGGCCCTCAAAGGTCACTGGGCTCTGGAGCTCCTCGTTGTGCTTGAGGATGAACTTTCAAGGAGATACCTCACCAGGTCTGGGAGCCACAGGCTGGGGATATCAGTCAGGTGGCTGTCCATCCTCTTGATGAGTTTCATATCTTCATCTGGGAATCCATTCTCCAGCCAGTCACAAAAATAGGGATCCATGTGAGCAGAATCCAGGCCTTGCAGATCCACTTGGCTTAGGCTCTTCTCCAGGGCCATGGCAGCTTCCATGGTGTCCAGGGTTTTGCTCCATCCACTTTGAGAAGGCTTTTTGCACATCTTAGAAGAGGGCATGGTCACTGCATTGGTTTTGTGTCTTTCAAGAGATGATCAGAGCTCTCACGCTTCTCCTCAGCCAACTTGTCAAAGAAGTGGCCCATACTCTCCAGAATCACATAGTCACAGTTGAAATAGTAGCCTAGAGGGACTGGGTTGTAACTCAACGGTGAAGCGCTTGCCTCGAGCGTGTGAGACCCTGGGTTTGATCCTTAGCACCATATAAAAACAAATAAGTGAAATAAAAGTATTGTGTCCAACTATAACTAAAAAAAAGGAGGAGGAGGAGGAGGAGGAGGAGGAGGAGGAGGAAGGAAGGAAGGAAGAAAGGAAATAGTAGCCTAGAGAGAAATAGGTGTAGGAGGCCCAAATATGTAAATTGAACAGTTGATGGTGGTCTCCACCTCTGAATCTGGGAGGCCATGGTTGGTTGGTGATAAGGAACTAACAACAAAAAAATGTTGGCCTGTTTTGCAGGCAAGATGTGAGTGAGAAGATGGTCCTAAAGCTTGCAACTGGAGAGGAGATTAGAAGGTGGTTGGAAGCTGGAAGAGAGGGACCCCCTGGGTCTGTTCCATCCAAATATCACTAAAGCAAGAGACAGACCTGTGGGACTTCTGGGCAGGTTACTCTCATCATTGTCTCATAGTTTTCAGTATACAGTTCATTCACCTCCTTGGTTAAATTTACTCCTAAGCATTTTTTATTCTGTTGTAAATGGGATTGTTTTCTTAATTTGTTTTTCATGTAGATATTGTCAGTATATAGAAATGTTATTGATTTTTCTATATGCTGATTTTTTGTCTGTAATTTTACTGAATCTATCAGCAAAGTTTAGAGTTCTTTTTGTGTGTATCGTGTGTGGATTCTTTTCTCCTCCTTGTCATTCCCCTCATCCTCCTTCTTTTTGGTGGATTTTTTTAGAGCTTTCTGTATATAAAATCATGTCATCAGCACACAGAGACAAATTTACATCTTCTGATCTTATTTGTGTGGCTTTTGTTTCTTTTTCTTGCCTAATCGCTCTGGATATGATTTCCAGTACTATATTAAGTGGAAGTAGCAAGAGTGGGCATACTGGTCTTGGTCCTGATGTTACAGTAAAAGACTTTTCATCATTGAGTTTGATATTAATTTTGGGCTTGTCCTATATGGAGAAATGTTCCTTATATATCTTTATTTTTGAGAGTTTTATTTTTTTATCATTGATTAAGGCATTTATCAAATGCTTTTTCAGTATCTATTTAGATAATTACATGATTCTGACCTTCTGGAATAAGGTTTTGAGGTTCATCCACTTTGTAAAATGTATCAACACTTCATTTATTTTCATGGCTACATGCTTTTCCATGGTATGGATAGAGCATATTTGTTTATCCATTGATGTGTTGTTGGACATTTGTGTTGTTTCTTCTTTCTAGCTATTATGAATAGTGCTTTGAATATTTATTTATTTTTGGTACTAGGGATTGAACCCAAGGGTGCTTGACCACTAAGCCACACCCCAGCCCTTTAAAAAGGCATTTATCTATCTATCTATCTATCTATCTATCTATCTATCTATCTATCTATCTATCTATATTTTGATATAGATAGACAGGGTCTCATTAAGTTGCTGAGGCTGGGTTTTGAACTTGGGATTCTCCTGCTTCAGCTTCCTGAGTTCTGGGATTACAGGCATATGCCACTGTACCTGGCTTCTTTGAACATTTATGTACAAGTGTTTGTTCAGATATCTTTTTCAGTTCTTTTGGATATACTTATGGTAGTGTAATTGCTGGGTCATGTGGTAATTTTGTGTGTAATTTTTGATGAACTATCAAATAATTTTCCATAGCAGCTGTACAATTTTGTATTACCACCAGCAATGTCTCCATTTTTTCACATTCTCACCAACACTTATTTTCTCTTTCTTTCTCCCTCTCTCTTTCCTACAGCCATTCTAGTGGGTGTGCAGTGGAATCTCATTGTGGTTCTGATCTTTATTTCCCCAATGATTAATGATATTGAGTATGTTTTCATGTAAATGAGCTTACATATTCCATCTGGAATCTTAATTTTGTTCAATTGATCTATATATCTATCTTTATGCAAGTACCACAATGTCGTGTTACTAAATTGTTGTTGTTGTTCTGGAGATTGAACCCAGGGATGCTTTACCCTCCCTTGTCCTTTCTATTATTTTTTTTTATTTTGAAACAAGTTCACCCTAAGTTGCTGAGGCTGTCTTCAAATTTGTAATCCTCCTGACTTAACTTCCAGTGTCACTGAGCATGTACCACCATGCCCTTGCCTTGTTTCTAAATCTTGAAATTGGAAGTATGAGTCCATCAACTTTGCTCTGTTTTTTTCCCCCA